AAAAGATCTCATAAAATCTGGAGAATTCTTTATGTATGGCTTATGAGATAATTATTTGTAAATCACTATAACATTTAATGTTTAATATTGTATTTATAGTGTAATCGAGACCCTTATATACGGCGCCCAATCTGTGGGTCAGAGCACAGTCTTCGCGTCCGACTACCAGAAGGCAAAGTCTGCGGCCATTAATATGTTTAAATTGATTGACAGAAAGCCATTGAGTGCTACAAACAGTTTACTCGTTACTGAAAAACCAGACAAATGTGACGGAAATATCACATTCAGGGGCTGTTTCTTCAATTATCCCAATAGACCCGATGCTCAGATTCTGAATGGACTGTCATTTAAAGTAAGCAAAGGGGAAACGGTAGCACTTGTCGGGTCAAGTGGTTGCGGAAAGTCCACAACAATTCAATTATTGGAAAAGTTTTATGATTTAGATCGTGGAAAGATTGTAAGTGATTTGAATGATTATTTTAGTTACAGTACATAATAAGTTACAGTATTATTAATGTGAAACTTATTAATCGTATAGTTTATGGACGGAAAGAATATAAATTCATTGGACACCCAATGGATGCGCTCACAAATGGCACTCGTATCACAAGAACCAAATCTATTCAGTTATAGTATTCGTGAGAACATCGCTTACGGCGATAACTCACGTGTTTTGCCGATGGATGAGATAGTGTCGGCCGCACAGAAGGCCAACATTCATAACTTCATTAAAGACTTACCCAACGGTTACGACACAATATGTGGATCAAAGGGCGCGCAACTCTCTGGTGGACAAAAGCAAAGGATAGCAATCGCGAGGGCTTTGGTCAGAAATCCACAGATATTACTATTAGATGAGGCGACCTCTGCTTTAGACACCGCATCCGAAAAAGTATTTCTTTGTTCAATAAAAATTTAATGAGTACTCAATTGTGGTCTTTTGAATGAGCAGTTAGTTCAGGACGCTTTGGATGAGGCCTCGAAGGGAAGGACATGTCTAGTGATCGCACACAGACTGACAACCATTCAAAACGCCAACAGAATTGTTGTCATTCAAAAGGGTCTTACCGTTGAGGAGGGATTGCATGAAGAATTAATTGATAAAAAGGGATTTTATTATGAATTATATAAAACTCAACCACAATAGTTTTAAAAAATTAATTTTAGTTCATTAATACTGTAATAGTCAAGAAATTTTCATTATTTGACAATCATTTTGTCTCTTATAGAGATTATGTGAAAACTCATATTTTTATATAATTTATATAATTATTTTAATAGTTTGTCATTTGTATTTTATAAAATACTATATTTATTAAAATTGTCTTTGAGTTTGCATTATATTT